CCAACCGCCAGCTCAAGATCCGGCTACTCCAGGCTGAAGTGGTGGAGACTACTCCTGTATGGGTGCGCCTCGTGGAGCCTAACAGCGGAGCACAACACGAAGCTCAATGGGACCCAACGCCAGTTCCTTACACGGTGCATCGGCTGGAGAAAGCGGAAACGCTCAGACCGCCCCCTGTCCTATGCCCACGCCCTCATCCAGGCAGGCTGCGAGGAAACCATCGAGGCCACCGTGCGCAAACGGAGACTGTGTTTCGCGGGCTTTGTTATGCGCATGGAGGACAGCCGCCTCCCCAAGCGCATGCTGTTAGGAGCGATGGCGGGGGGCGTGGGATACCGGGGCGGGCAGGAGAGCGACTGGGTGTCTCGTCTAGGAGAGGACCTCGTGGCCTTCAGCATGGGAGACGAAATGGAAGGGGATAAATGGAAAGAGAGCGCCAAGGACCCGGAGGTGTGGTACAACAAGGTCGAGAAAGGGGCGGCATGGTTCATGAGGAAATGGAACAGGCAGGAGGCGGAAGCGCCCGCGAAGCGCCAGCGCGCGAGGGAAGCAGAGAGCACGGCCATCTCAGGACCAAAGAGAAAGAGAGCCGGGGAAGCGGCGGTGGGGGGGAAGAAGCGGCGACCGGGCACTGTTGTAGAAGCGAGTAGGGCGGCCGAGGCAGCACTTGTGGCAAACTATGTACCCGGCTGATGTTGTTGCGCCCTGTTTCCCTCCCTGCTGTATGCTATACTTCTTTTAAAATTTTGTATGTCGTTTGTATTGTCTTCGGCCTCTGTGCTGTGTTTCTTTTTCTCATGTCCTCCCTGCCTACTTTGCTGTGTTGGGTACCTTGATCTCGCTTTTACTGTTGTTTTCGATTTTGTACATCTGGCTGTCTGCCCATCTGCCGCCTCTTTGTCCTGTTTGCTCCGTTACTCCCATGCCCTGGTGCGTAGCAGGCGGGTGTGGGAAGCGTCCTCCTTTATTTTTGTTTTTATTTTATTTTGATCGGTTTCCGAGGGCTCTTTTCTCGAACGGTCGGTGCGATACCTATTATTTTCTTTCCATCAGTTTGTTTTCTTTTTCCGAGTGGTTTGTACCCTATTTTCGTTTTGTTTCCCCGCGGCGTCGTATGTGCCGGGTTTTGAGACCACGGGCTCCCCATTTTTTGTGGACTAGTCTATTGAGCTAATGTGAGAAACAACAACAACAACAACAACAACAACAACAACAACTATAGAATATTAGACATGTGATCACAATTCGTCTGTACAGGCGTGCAGTATTTCTACAACATACTATTGTAACTGATCGCATTTCAGCATCTCGATTTTCATGCATGGAGGGCAGGCCTCTAAGCCCTTCCGTGTACGTGCAATAATGAATCGCCCTTTTTTCTCGTGTCGGTCGACGTTGTGATGCGCAGCCGATATGTCGTAGCTCAAGGAGAGGCTATTGGACACGAAGTTCCCCTTCATTGAAGACGAACAGGGGCAGGATTTCGGCGAGGGCACATGGACCAACTTCTCAGAGACCATCATACTGTAGCGCGCTTCAAGCCGCACAAGATACAACGAACAAGGAGAAGGTACGTTATCCGCGCGTAACGCCGTTGGAAAGTTTAGGTCCATGGCTATGATCAACAGCTGACGGGAAACAGTTTGTTCGGCCCCGTGCCCTCTCGCAAGCTGGTGCAGGGCTCTTCCTGCACTTTCTTGTCTCTCGTACGCCGAAAGCGCAGAAGAAGGGGGCATGAGCACGCGCACGTGTTTGGCACTTGCTCCACCACTGAAACTACGTATCTATGTACATACATAGGTTGGTTGTTTTTCTGAAACTTCCCTCTTCACAGCAGCTAAATAGCCAAACGATTTCCGGGGTCACACGTGAGGGGTCGATGTTGGGCACCGCGTCCTGCGGTGCCTGCCCTAGGAGTTCTGATCGCGAGCAGGGTTCAGCGCTCCCCACCCTCGCATTTACTAACGAGTTATCGCTTTCGATGTAGTACCAGCGCCGTAGTAACAGGAACGAATGTAAAGAAAAAATCTTCTCCGGGAATCGAGCCCGTGACCTATTGCCTTAGTTGGTTGCATGGATACCAACTAGAACCCAGGGGCGAGTTGTATATAACCCACCAGTAACACATGAAAATCCGTCTCACCGTCCTACCAGCTTTTCCGTGGAATCGTCGAGAACTCTCGGCTGACGAAGAACAGGTGGAGACGCGTCGAATTCGTCTGCGTACACAGTGGTACGCCGGACTCGCGGCGGACGAAGTCGGCGAAGAACACGACGACGACGAAGGTGCTGGTCTGTCGAAGTAAAATAAGATATTGAGTACGTTGGGCTTGTCAACGCTGTTATTTTGTTCGGTCCCAGGGTCCCTTCGCCGAAGGACGGAAAGATTAAACGGCCAACCTCGGGGCTCGTAGACTTCAATTCAGGAAAACAGTCGGATGGAAACCCGCTTGGTGGTGGTGTCACTGCGATGCCTACATTGCTCTAGCAGTGAAGAGCACCTTTCTGTTGCAGTACGGAGAGATTGAGACAGAAGGAGGTACTGGATAGAGAGACCGGGATGGTTTTTAATGTGAAGACAACAACAACATACAAAAGTTCATCTTTAGGGAAAAAATATGTATATAGATGACGTGGACAGTCGTCTCGTGGTGATTGGTGTAGGTCTCGCCGCATCTAGGCGCGGCGGAATACAGGTTAGGCCGCGTGTTTTTTAATAATGTATCACACACCCGAGAGGCCGACAGGCGGGACACATCCCAACGGTCGCACCGCGAGCACGCTGCCGGTGTCACCAGCGCCCACAGACTTCCCCAGGGCNCGAGATCGAATTGCTCGCAAGAAGCGAGCACTGCTGCTGATGCAGTGGCAGCAGTCCTATAGCCTATACACCAGCATGTGGTTCGCTTCCCACGTCGCGGTCATGTACACTCTGGGTCGCCTGGCCATCGATGATATCCCGACCGGTGCTGCACGGAGGGACGAAGACAACTTCTTCAGCCCTCAGGATTGCGTGGAATTAATGAGGTTTACGCGAGACCAGGTAATTGTATCTATTGAGTGACGTTGGTAACGCTGGTGCTGTGTTGCTGCTGTGTGCCTGCTGTGTGTGCCTGCTGCTGTCGGGAGTGGACAAAGAAAGACAGATAGACCATGACCGCACACAAAAGACCGCGAGTTGTGCTGTGACGAGAGCGACACCCGAAGGCACGAAATGCACACAGCAAGGTTGAGTGTTTTGTCAACGAACGGCTACTGCATGTATTTTGACAAACACTATCATGCTGCTTCGGATCTTTTTGTGCGGCAGATCGTACTCATGCTGGAACTGCTCATGGTGCCTGCCATCATTCGGACAGACTGTGGCTTTGTGGTGGGCGGACGAGAGGCTCTTTGCGTGCTGCTGTACCGACTTGCGTTCCCGTGCCGTTTGGAGGACATGCGTCTGGTTTTCGGCCAGAGCGAATCCTGTATCTGCGAGACTTTCAACTGGATGCTACACTTCATGGATTTCAAGTGGGGGTTCCTCCTCTCGCTGGACGTTCAACGGCTGGTACCAAAGCTTCGTACTTTTGCGGAGGCAGTTTACAACAAAGGTTGTCCCCTGACACACTGTTGGGCCTTCATCGACGGAACTGTGCGCGGTATTGCAAGGTATGATCCGGAAGCCGTGCCCCCGTTGATGGGTGGTAGTTGTAAAAAAGCACTTGGGTGAAACGGCGTCATGTATGTCCCGCTACATTTGTATGTCTACTTTGGCGAACGGTAGCTAACCACAACAACCACTCGTACGGGTTCACTTTTACGAATAAGGAGCAAGGTGGGTAACATCGACCCCTAGACTACAGGGAAGATTCCAGAGGTGCTTTTGCCAACACGACGCAAGAAAATGCACTCCGCTATATGCGGCAAACCTCACGAAAACATTGTCGGATGCAAGAAAATAGATCGACCACCCCGTGCGTCATGTTGTCGACGATGTTTGCGTCTCAGGCCTATACGCAACCAGCGCTTTTTCTACAACGGGTACAAGAGGAAGCACGCTATCAAGTTCCAAGGAGTCGTGACGCCAGACGGGCTGTTTGTTGACCTGTACGGCGCAGAGGTTGGAACGAGGCACGACGGCTACTTGCTTGCGCAGTCTGCACTACTTGAGAAGCTACAGACCCACCTAAACAGCCCTTCAGGCCACCCGGTTTGCTTGTATGGTGATCCAGCGTAAGGTCAGACCAATCACACACAGTGCCCTTTTAGTGCATCTGTCAATGGCCCCCTTACGCCCGCGATGAGAAACTTTAACAAGAGCATGAGCCAATGCCGAGTGACGGTCGAATGGGGGTTCAAGGAGATGACTAGCAAGTGGGCCTTCGTTGACATGAAGTGCCAGCAGAAGTTCCTGCTGAGCCCTGTAGCGACGCAGTACAAGGTAGCAACACTGTTGTCAAACTTCCACTCCTGCCTGAACGGCGGCAACCAGATTTCACAGTACTTTGGAGTAGAGCCTCCCACGCTGGAAGAGTACCTCAAGGTGTAAGCCTCAGCGGTTTGTCAGGGAAATATGTTGGTCCAATCGCACTTATGGTAGACAGGAAACTTGTTTGTGCCGAAAGGTTACGGCTTGCAAAGGGGGAAGTTGCAGATGGGGATGAAGTATTTCTTCCAATCAGGAGAGGACTTGTACTACCTGGTCATTAGGTTAAGAGGGAGGTTTCCGCACGAGGGCTAGGCAGTGTGAGAATCGTCACCACACCAAAGATCCCCAAAGGTGGTTTTGTTCCTATTCCACCGAGTGCTTCTGTGTTTGTTGGACAGCTGAGATGACGTCTGGCCTTTGCATCTGTTTCGTGCGGGGCTGGTTGCACGATGCACGATATAATTCGGGAGTACT